GTGTGTGTGTGTGTGTGTGTGTGTCTGTGTGTGTGTGTGTGAGTGTGTGTGTGTGTGTGTGTGTGTCTGTGTGTGAGTGTGTGAGTGAGTGTGTGAGTGAGTGTCTGTGTGTGAGTGTGTCTGTGTGTGAGAGTGAGTGTGTGTGAGAGTGAGTGAGTGAGTGAGTGTGTGTGTGTGTGTGTGTGTGTGTGTGAGTGTGTGTGTGCCTGTGTCTGTGTCTGTGTGTGTGTCTGTGTGTGTGTGTGAGTGAGTGTGTGTCTGTGTCTGTGTGTGTGTGTGTGTGTGTGAGTGTGTGAGTGAGTGAGTGAGTGAGTGAGTGAGTGAGTGTGTGAGTGAGTGAGTGTTACCTGGACAGACGTAGCAGCAGCCGTCTCTGCTCCTGACAGGCGTGTGACACAGAACCGGAGGACACGCTTCAGAATCACACAACACTCTTCCCAGTCGACACGTACAGCTGGTGCACTCGTCCAGACGCCACGTCTCTCCCTCCACGAACAGCTCTCCGCCGGGAGCACGACACACCACCAGATCCAGACCGTCCAGCTGCCCGCTGCCCGACTCGTCTGCTTCACACACAGACAAACACCGAGTGAGGGCTTCATCCTGAGACTGAAATCAGTTACTCAAATCAAGATGCTTTTGCAGGTCAAGGTCAAGAGTGTACAAAACCTCACAAAACCATCAAAACAGACCAGTGGAAACCAGTTTGGTCGGGCCAGCTTTAGGTTTTTTCATCAGGAAACACTAAAACGATATTTAGATGGTTCTGTATGTAAATAATGACCTTTGAAGAAATGTGATGAAGAACTGACTAAATAATCCAGTCTGTCTTTATCCACACAGAAGCCGCTTTAGAGCAAGTGATGAAAAGATATCAGACATTAGATTAGATTATCATGAATATCTACATTCACAAGGAATTTCTGTCTAATGTTCCAAGAAAATTCTCTAAACTTAAAGCTTTTCTCATAATTTAATGAGTTTATTCTCAACATTTTATCTCGATATTTTTATCGCAATTTAACGACTTTATTCTCAACATTTATTTTATTAAGACTTTGTTCTTGAAATTTAACGACTTTAATCCTCTTCCGTAAAAAAAGAGTCTATTTTAGGATAATTTGGATTTGTTGCATTATGACCCTATTTTCATCACAATCACACACTTTCCTGCACAATATTTCTGTGGAAACCGTGACGCATTTTATTTTTCAGGATTCACAGATGAACAGAAAGTTCAAAAGAACAGCATTTATTCGAAATAGAAATCTTCTGCGACACTATAAATGTGTTTACGGTCACTTTTCATCAATTTAATGCGTAAAAGTATTAATTTCTATGTTTTTGAAATCAAAGTTTCCACAAAAATATTGTGCAGCACGACTGATTTCAACATTGATAATAATCAGAAATGTTTCTCGAGCAGCAGATCAGCATATTATACTGATTTCTGAAGATCATGTGACACTGAAGACTGGAGGAATGATGCTGAAAATACAGCTGCGCATCACAGAAATACATTACAGCTTAACTGATATTCACATAGAAAACAGATGTTTTAAATGATAATAATATTTCACTATTTTTACTGTGGTTCTGATGAAATAAACGCAGCCTCTGTGAATATCAGAGGCTCTTGTGAGTGTCGTACCCTCACAGCCGGGGCAGCACTGGTTTGGGTGGAGCACAGGGTGGGTGCAGGTGGGTACGGAGCAGGTGATCAGCACACACATCTCTCGGCCGGCGTGACAGAAACAGTCCCGGCAGCCGTCGTGCCATCCGTCTCTATCCTCGAAGCGCTGGCCGCTCGCCGTCAGACAGAAGCTGGAGGAGACGGTGTCTGCATCTGAACACCACACAACATCAGCATCACAGCCATGAAGACATTCAGAAAAGAACGACAGCAAACATAGCAACAAGCTGACAAAACTGGTCCGTAAACCTCCCAAAAAAATTCATTTTGCATAAATAAAATCGTGCACCTTTTTAGGATTTTCATCACAACTTTCATCATTCTGTAATGCATCTGAATGGTTTAATTTTATTTCTTATAAAATGTGTCCCTGCAGCACAAAAGCAGTGTTAAGTGTCTGGGGGATATTTGTAGCAATAGCCAACAATACATTGTATGGGTCACAATTATACATTTCTCTTTTATGCCAAAAATCATTAGGATATTAAGTAAAGATCATGTTCCATGAAGATATTTAGTAAATGTCCTACCGTAAATATATCAAAACTTAATGTTTGATTAGTAATATGCATTGCTAAGAACTTCATTTGAACAACTTTAAAGATGATTTTCTCAATATTTAGATTTTTTTGCACCCTCAGATTCCAGATTTTCGGACAAATATTGTCCTAACGAGCCACACATCAATGGAAAGATTATTTATTCAGCTTTCAGATGATGCATACATCTCAATTTGACAAAACTGACCCTTATGACTGGTTTTGTGCTCCAGGGTCACATTTGTTTGTAATTCTCAATGTTGAGACGGATCAGATTTTCATTGCTGTAATTTTTGACTCATTTATGGCAAAACAAAATACTGCAATACAATCAGCGGTATTTTAATATCATTGATATACTATTATAGTTTTAATAGTTTTGTTTTTATTTTCCATTTTCAATTGAATTTTAAAGTTTAAGTATTTAAAAAAAAAATGTCTATATAGTTCAATGAATTTTATTATTCTAGTTTTTATTAATATTTTATTAATGAATAATTCATATTTTTCAATTTTATTTTGATATTTTCATTTCGTGATTTGTATTAGTTTTTGTTTTCTTTTAATAGTCCAAATTAAAAATCCTTTTTATTATTATAGTTTTATTAATATTTCAAGTTAACTTTAATTTCGATATATTACATTTTAGTAAATTATTATTATTTATAAACTGTTTGTTGTGTTTTTGTCATTTTTATTAGATTTTTCAAATGTCTATTTAGTTTTTATTCATGTTTAGTTTTAGTTTCAGTTCAACTTTTTTAAACATTTTGCCTTTTTTATAAATTTGATTATTTATTTTATTTCAAGTTATGAAAATGTTGTTTATGGTTTTAGTTAAATGATGATAACTCATATATGATAACTTTTTAAGGTAACTACTAAACTAAAACGTATGATCACAATGATAACATCAGTCTAATATGATACGAGTATTAGTGTAATGTGAATATAATATCCCTGATTACAGTCTCCAGCTGAAATAACATCTTCAGAACGTCTGATATTTAGCCAATAATGAGTTCATAATTATGCTGTGGATAAACTGAACTGAATGAACCAGTTAAAGCAACACACACACAACTGCTTTCCTGCGTCTGCGAGCGTTTGCTTCTTTAAAAGTGTTTAGTGAAGGTTTCATCTCTAAATACATTTAAGCAGTTTGCTGAAAACTGCTCCAGATGTTTGAAAACGTGTGTCTGTGTGCGTGTGCGTGTGTGTGTGTGTGTGTCTGTGTGCGTGTGCGTGTGTGTGTGTGTGTGGTGTGCGTGCGAGTGAGTGTTACCTGGACAGACGTAGCAGACGTGAACAAACTAAAACACACTCCACAAACACACCAGATTCTCATGACAGAGTTAAAATAACATTTAGTATCGAGTTTTTGTTAATATTTTGAATTAGGTTATTTTTATATTTTCTGTTTTCATTTCGATTTTAGTTAGTTTTAGTAATTTTGTTGTGTGTGTTGACATTTTTATATCAGTTCTTTTCAAAATAAACAGCGTCTTTAAATAATTGTAGCGTTTTAGTTCTATTAGCACATCAAATTAAACTACATGAACTAGCTGAAATACATTTTTATTTCATCTCATTTAAAGTTTATTTTATTTCAAGTAATGAAATTGTTTTTTATGGTTTCTGATTTCATTTTGATTTAGTTAAAGTTTTAGTAATTTTGTCTTTTGTCGACTTTAGCTTTTTACATTTTATTTTTTAAATAATTTTAAATTTAATTCGTTTTAGTTCTATTAGCACATCAAGTGAAACTAAATGAAGTAGCTGAAATACATTTTCATTTCAAACTAAATTTCATTTCATTTAAAGTTTATTTTATTTCAAGTAACGAAAATATTTTTTTATGGTTTCTGATTTCATTTTGATTTAGTTAAAGTTTTAGTAATTTTGTCTGTTTTTGTCATCTTTAGTTTTTTTTATTTAATTTTTTAATAATTTTAAATTGAATTTTAGTACATCAAGTAGCTGATATAAAACGAAAAATTTAAGCATTTTTATTTAAGTTTATTTCAATATATGCGTTGTTTTAGTATCACTGATATACTAATATAGTATAATACTAATACTACTAGTTACTATTCATATTTGACATTTTTATATTTTCTGTTATAATTTTGCTTTGAGTTCGTTTTAACAATTTTGTTGTGCATTTTATTTTTTTATATGTTATTTTTAAATATTTTAAAATTTAATTAGATTAATTATTTTAGTACATCAAGTTAAGCTAAATAGCTGAAATAAAATAATTTGTAGTTTGTTTGTTTTTTCCTTTATTTTAATTCTTTAATTGATTTTATTTCAAGTAATGAAAACGTGTTTTTATGGTTTTAGTTTTAGGTAACTATAATAACCCTGACGATATATAAATGCATATTAAATGCTGGACATAAACCAGACTCACCATGCATATTTTCCCACGTATAGACATTTATAAACTGCTTGTAGGAACATTCTGTACAGTGAGGCCTCATGACCTCTGCGCAGTCACTCACCTTCACACTCGCAGACGCTGCAGCCCTTCCTGCTCTTTCTGAAGCCGCCGCCGCCGCAGTGTTTGTCGCAGGTGAACGGCGGACAGCGGATGCAGCGGCACATCTCACAGCCGTGCTTGTTCCTCCTGCGAGGAGAAGCCACACATAAACCACCGGCTCAACCAGCACTAACCAGCATAAACCTGCTGGTGAAGCTACGAAAGCACAGCTCTTGATTCCTGCTTAACACTCAGATGCACTTCAACTTCTGAAGACGGATGAAAGCACGTCTCGCGATACCTCGTAATAATGCAGGACACTTTTATGCGTATAACGTCGTGATTCATTAAAGTTTCTGGTCGTTGGGAGCTGGTTTTTGTAGAGGCGCGATACACCGGATCCAGATGCTCAAACCGGTTTAACGGCCTTCTGGTTCTGTTTTCCTCTGCAGAACATGAGCTTCAAGAGTCCAGATGTAAGCAGCACCAGAAACACGCTCACATCAGCGCTGAACATCCTCTCTAGTGCCCTCAGTAGTGCACCACCAGTATGAGCTCACTAACTAGAGCCAGCATCATTTTATTTAATATTAATATTAATCATATTTAATATTATAAATCAGCTATTTTAAATTATAAATAAATAATATCTAAATATAACATTAATAATTAATATAATTATATTTGGGTTAAAATGTACTAGATTTATTTATGCTTAAATGACAAACAAATATATGTTTTATTGCATAATTTTTTTAATAAAAAAATATATTTCGTTTTTGCTATTAAAATGTTTAATTATTTTTATTATTAGTAGTAGTGAACCACTAGGTCACCTAATATCAATAATATTTAATTTACATAAAATGTTAAATAAATTAAATTTTATATACATTTGATATTTATACATTTTATTTATATAAAATAAATAATATTTAATATTATATACTATAATATTATTAAATAAATAAATAATACACAAATATAATAATTCATATTAGTATATTTAATATTAAATTTAAGACAAATTACCAATTACTAGGTTTATGTTAAAATGATAATAAAAGCTGAAAATAATATATTTAATATTTTATTACATAGAAATTAGTGTGCGTGTGTGTAAAAATATATTTAATTTTTTTTATTATTAAAAGTACTTATTTCTTATTTATTCACTTTAAATAACAATGAATAAATAAAATATTTACTTAATATTTTATACTTAATAATTTATTTATTCATTTTTTACTACACAGTTATTCAAAATTATCACACAAAAATTAAAAACAAGTATTTATTATTCATTCACAGGAAGAGGAAACTACTATTTCTGTTATTTCTGGTCAGGAAGGAACAATTAACTGCTCATGATGATAATATTAATTGTTATATCGTCTATTATTAGCTTATAGAAAACTCTTAGCGTCTTCACAAAGTCTCATAATTTGGGACTTTTAGTTTAATAATTATGCTCAGAAGTTTGTTAAAACCACTATCAGTATAAACAATAGCAATAGTTATGCTTGATTTAATAAAATGCCATCATGTTTCATGTTTTACAATCAAATCAAGAGTGGACCCACCTACATAAATCCAGTTTCAGTCACAATGTGAAAGTCAAATCTGAGAAGATATCTGAAAGTCTGAAGGTTCAAAGCGCACGAGTTGATTCATGAACGATCACCATTAGGGCTGCTAATGAATGATTAATGCGTGAGTAATAATAGCGTCGTCGTCATAGATCATTAATGAAACAGCCAGAGGTCACTATACGGTCTGTCAGTGTGTCTGTTGTTCATGAATACAGTACAGTAGTGGTTCACTGCTGAGACAGCATGCAGCACACAAACACAGAACCAGGTCTTTGAGTCAGGACGACTGCTGACTCCACACATACTTCTTTACGTCCGGTCAAATCCAACGGGGAAGCGATTTAAGACCCCTTTTTTGTGGAGTCCGACCCATTCGACCAGTGTTGGGGAAAGTTACTTTTAAAAGTAATGCATTACAATGTTGCGTTACTCCATAAAAAAGTAACTAATTATGTTACTCAGTTACTTTTTATGGAATGTAATGCGTTACGTTACTTTTGCGTTACTTTTTAAATCTGGACAGGGCTTGCTTGTTTGTTTTTAAAATAAAAAAGTTATATTTTTGGCAAATATAAAAGCCTTTCAGACCAGAAGTGAAATGAATGCGCCTCAGGCTGAAGGGAAAGTACAGTAGAATACAGAAGAAGACATTTCAACACACTTCAGCAATAAACAAAGACACAAATGTTCGTCTAGAGTAATTTGTGCTTATTAGTACGCTTGAACTGGATCATTGAAGGTCAGAAGCAAAGACATTGGTTAATAGAATGGGATTAAATACATAAAGGATATTTGTGTTTAACATTTAATTATTGAAGGTTTGCGTCATATTCTGAGTTGCATTATTTTTATTCATTTTGAGGAATACTGAATCTGTGTTTTTTGTGTGTGAGATGAATTAATGCATATTCATATTTATTTTAGAACTACAGTAACATCTTCTGATTTCTCTCAACATGGGGACAGGAGAGCTGCCAATCAATAAATTGAATTAACTTGTGTTGCTTATTTGAAAAAGTAACTCCGATATTCTCTTGTAAATTAAAAAGTAATGCATTACTTTACTAGTTACTTGAAAAAAGTAATCTGATTACGTAACTTGCGTTACTTGTAATTCGTTACCCCCAACACTGCGTTCGACTGTATAAAATATCAATGTAAACAGCCTCGTCCACATCTCCGACGGGCGAAGTCAAACATCAGTAGTGCCGACGTGAATAATCTTACTGAATTTACGTTTAGCATTCGCCAGCATTTTCAAATTTCTCAGCAACCGGAACCGAACCTAGTAGCATCCAAAGCCGTATCTAAGGCCCTCACATTCTTACTATCCTCAATTAAATTTAGGATGCGTGTCTCTAGTTCTGAGATCTTCTCTGTCAGCCTAACCATTTCCCTACATTTATCACATGTGAATCTCTCGCCGCTGACAGAGAAAGCTACACTATACATTTGGCAAGCGGTGCAAGTGACAATAACTGGAGAAGAAGCCACTACTCACTGTGATAGTTGAATGAATTCCGACTTACCACAGTTGTTTGATGAACTTGTGAAAAAAACAGAGCGAGAAAGAAAAGAAACGGAGCGAGAGAGAAAAGAAACGGTAGGCGCGAATGACAAGCTAACAGGCTAACAGAATTTAGATTTCAATGGAATTTAACGGTTTAGATAAAAAACTTGTATTGCTGTATTGCTATTACTGCGTTTAACCCTTTGTCAACATTATTTTAACACCCTGATGTTGTCACTTTCAACCCTGGGTTAAACAATATTTCTCACTCATACTTAAGAGGTTAGCACTACATTTAACCCTGGGTTAACATTACTTTGACCCTGTGATGAAGTCAATGTTAACCATGGGCTAACATTATTTTAACCCTTTGATGAGGTTAATTTTACCCCCTGTTAACATTAACCCTGTGCTGATGTTACTTTTAACTGGGTTAAATTTAGTTTAACCCTGTGAGAAGGTCACATTTAACCCTGGGCTAACATTATTTTGACCCTTTGATGAGGTTAATTTTACCCCTGGGTTAACATTTACCCTGTACGGATGTCACTTTTAACCCTGGGTTAACATTAGCTTAACCCTGTGATGGGGCCATTTTTAACCCTGGGTTAACATGGTTAAACATACATAAAATTTTGGATTACTTTTACACAAATGAAATATTGCAGAGAGTAGAGTGACATTAACAAAAATATTCATAATATTACACTTTTTATTTTAAATAATATTTAAATATATTTTCCCATTCACACTGTTGCTTTTTGTAACCCATCCCACTTGAATTAATAAGAATTAATAAGACGAATGATGAATTCTTAATAACTTAATAACTACGCATACATGAAAACAAAGAGCTTTAGCAAATCATGCCACAAATTGTTCATGTGTTGCATTATATATTACATACTACTGCACCTAAAACAGACATACAAATGTGCATTTTATAGCTTTTATATGTTAACTTTAAAAATTCCCTTATTTTGATGGTAATATGTCATTGGATTTAAAGTGCACAATGTGGTTATCTTAAATCATCACTACTGTAATCACATCAGGCCTGATTTGGACAAAATTAAGTGAACAAGAGCTAAGAAAACCTTTAATTATAAACACATTATCTCTAATGGCTTTCTGAACTTAAGGGGTTTGTTTCAACCAGCTGCAGATAATTTAGAAACAGAAGAGGGTCATCTTCATTCAAATGCTCATGATCTTTGGGTTTGTTTCCAGATCTTTGTTGTATCTGTTTATCTTACTAGCAATAAACGCTAGAATCAAGCACACTCGGAGCAGAAGATGATCTCAACATGAGCCACTATAAACAGGGATTTCCTCCAGAGTGAGATGGAGAGACAAGGCTCAGAGGACTCAAACTTCTTCTGAAGTGATCCAGGAAACCCTCCGGCCCCCCTGAGGGAGCTCAGACACAGGGTTTCCAGTGAAAATCTATCTGCTCCATCCTCCACTGGGGGCTCGTTGTTCAGATACCAGCGGAATCACACCACATGCTCACATACAGACGCTTTTGTGTCAATGTGCATTTGATCGTTGTGCTGAAATGAAGGGATGGTTTTGAAATGAAAGCACTGGCTCCTTATGAGGAGAGCAAAGCGCCCAGATGTTTGACCAGGGTTACGGATTACTGGGGGTCACGCTGTTTAACACTGAGTAAACATTAATTTAACCCTGTGATAAGGTCATTTTTAACCCTGGGTTAAACAATATTTTACACTTGCATTTAGACAGGACGTAGCATTGTAATTCGGGTTATCATTATTTTAATTACTTTTTTCAAACTTCCATTTAGGCAGAGGTTAGCACTGTGTTTAACCATGGGTCAACATTGTTTTAACCCCATGATAATGTCACTTTTAACCCTGGGTTATCATTATTTTAATCTAGTGAAGTCACTTTTAACCTTGGGTTAACATTATCTTAACCCTGTGATTAGGTCACTTTCCATGCTGGGTTAAACAATGTTTCACACTTCTATTTAGACAAAGGTTTGCATTGCTTTTAACCCTGCGTCAACATTATTTTAACCCCATGATGATGTCACTTTTAACCCTGTGTTAAACATAATTTCACACTTGTATTTAGACAAAGGTTAGCACTACATTTAACCCTGGATTAACACTATTTTAACCTTGTGCTGATGTCATTTTCAACCCTGGGTTAACACTATTTTAACTCAGTAATGAGGTCACTTTTAACCCTTGGTTAAAATTATTTTAGACCTTTGATGAGGTCAATTTTACTTTTAGTAGTTAATATTACTTTAACCCACTGATAAGGTTACTTATAAACTAATTTAACCCTGTGATGAGGTCATTTGAACATCGGGTTAACAATTTGAACTTTGTGCTGATGTTACTTTTAACCCTGGGTTAAACAAAGTTTTACACTTGTATTTAGACAGAGGCTAGCACTACCTTTTACCCTATTTTAATTCAGTGATTAGATCACATTTAACTCTGGGTTAACTATTTTAGCCCTCCACTGACATCACTTTTTTACACTCAAGAGGTTAGTACCGCATTTAACCCTAGGTTAACAGTATTTTAACCCTAATATTACTTTAACCCTGGGTTAAAAATATATATTTTAAATTTCACACTGAAAGAGCTAACAGCCTTTACTTCTGAGAGTTATTTAACCTTACCCTCTGCGAGTTAATTAGCAACAGCTAACTAATCATAACCTTACTCAATGCTTACCTCACGTGACAAGTTTATGAATACATGCAGAAATTATATTTCTTAGAATTAAGGACATTTGATTCTTAGATACTTAGATGTTACTGGTCATGAACAGAGATATAAACTTACATGTATCCATAAGGGCACGTCTTGCTGCAGGTCATGGGGCGGCATTTTGGTGCAGATACACTACATTCACACACTTCACAACCATAGTTGTCTTTCTCATAACCCAGGGGACACTCCAGAGAGCAGTACGTGGACACGTCAGGACAGGTTTCATCTGAAAAACATAGTCATTTACATACAAAAGATGATGAGTGAACAGTCAAACTAATTTGTGTCATCCTTCTATTTACACAGAATTTAGCACTTTGTTTAACCCTGGGTCAACGTAATTTTAATCCCGGGTCAACATTAATTTAGCCCCATGATGACATCAATTTTAACCCTGGGTTAAACAACATCTCACACGTTTATCAAGACAAAGATTAGCACTACATTTAACCCTGGAATAACACTATTTTAACCCTGCACTGAGGTCACTTTTAACCCCAAGTCAACATTATTTTAACCCCATGATGACTTCCCTTTTAACTCTGGGTTAGCACTATTTTAACCCCAAGTCAACATTATTTCAAGCCTATGATGACTTCCCTTTTAGCTCTGGGTTAACACTATTTTAACCCTGTGCCAAGGTCACTTTTAACCCCAAGTCAACATTATTTTAATCCTGGGTCAACGTTATTTTAACCCCATTATGACTTCACCTTTAAACAACATCTCACACTTCTTTTTAGACAGAGTTTAGCACTACATTTAGCCTTGGTTTAACACTATTTTAACCATGTGCTGATGTCATATTTAACCCTCTGTTAACATTATTATAACCCTGTCATTAGAGAACACAGAAAGTCAGCTAAAGTAAAAGCTGTTAAACATGTGTACTTTTGTTTCATGCATATAACTTGCTAAATTCAAATATAGTTATTTTTTGCAAAACTTTCGATGCTGCTAGTGGTGAAGAAACCCCAGACTCTTGCATGTTTTCTTAGAACTACACTTAATGATTTGAAGCAGTTCACAATCCCATGAGCTCTGTGATGCCCAAACGTCCTACTGACCTCTGATACTGACTTCAATTCACATGGGAAAAACTTTCAGATTAATTTCAGTCGTGATGGTGCAGATTTGTGAGGTGGATTTGTGTCTGAGATCATTATTTCCTGGACACGCTCTGTATGTCCAGAGTCAGTGTTTGCTTGTGTTGCGGGCCGTTGGCACTTTCTCAAACACAGACTTGAGAGTATTTTGGAGCGGTTTGCACGCAACACTGTTCTCATGGGTTTGTATGTGTGTGTATGTGTGTGTTTGCACTCACTGCTGACACACTGGCACAGCAGACAGCCGCTAGGGTCTTGCTGGAAGCCGAATGGGCAGTCATGCCCAGAGAGAGAGCAGTTTTCCAACGGTGGGCAGAGCAGCGGGCTCACCGTCTCATATGACGGCTCTAGAAGAGAACGTTAGTTAGTTCCTGGGTTTTTTTCCCAGCAATATACATCGCTATCAGAAATATGAAAAACAGGAAACATCTCAGAAAGCTAAAATCTGCAGACTGAAGTGCATGAAATATCTGCAGTTGGTTTATGGTTTACAAAGCACATTATTATGCTCACCATGGCTGCATTTATTTGATCAAAAATACAATAAAAACAGTAAAATTGTGAAATATTATTACAATTTAAAATAGCTGTTTTCTACGGTAACATATTGTAAATTGTAATTTATTCCTGTGATGCAAAACTGAATTTTCAGCATCACTACTCCAGTCTTTTTCATATTTAAATTATTAAAAAATGGGCATTCCCACATGGTTGTGTATTATATAAATTGTTTTTTAATTTAATTTTTAACAAAAATAACTGTATCATGATCCCAGCTAAAAAAAAAAATAAAAAATTTGAATATGTCCATTATGTTATGAAAACTTTATTTCTGAATGTTCTCTGAATGTACAAAATGTTGTTTTCAAAACTTTTAATTATTTTGTTATGCAAACATTAATGGAATGTTTAGCATTTTATCATTTCGCAAACATCGTCACGTTTGAATGTTCTCTGAACGTTCTGAAACAAGTAGTTACATTTAAAAATGTTAGACGAATGGTCAACTACAATGTTCCCATGAACGATGCATAAATAACATTTTGAGAACATTATTAAAGACTCAATAACTCTGAACAAACATTCTATTAATGCTACTGGAAGAACGTTTGTTTACTTTAAAAGAACCTTTAAAATGTTAAAATAACTTTTTCAGAACATTCCCTGTTAGCTGGGAATATATATAGTTTCTGACATTTAATCGACTCATACTGGGTAATAATATTTTGGTCACACCACCCACTGCTAATTCATTATCCAAAAAAAATGGGCATTCCCACATGGTTGTGTATTATATAAATTGTTTTTTAATTTAATTTTTAACAAAAATAACTGTATCATGATCCCAGCTAAAAAAAAAAAAAAAAAATTTGAATATGTCCATTATGTTATGAAAACTTTATTTCTGAATGTTCTCTGAATGTACAAAATGTTGTTTTCAAAACTTTGAATTCTTTTGTTATGCAAACATTAATGGAATGTTTAGCATTTTATCATTTCGCAAACATCGTCACGTTTGAATGTTCTCTGAACGTTCTGAAACAAGTAGTTACATTTAAAAATGTTAGACGAATGGTCAACTACAATGTTCCCATGAACGATGCATAAATAACATTTTGAGAACATTATTAAAGACTCAATAACTCTGAACAAACATTCTATTAATGCTACTGGAAGAACGTTTGTTTACTTTAAAAGAATCTTTAAAATGTTAAAATAACTTTTTCAGAACATTCCCTGTTAGCTGGGAATATATATAGTTTCTGACATTTAATCGACTCATACTGGGTAATAATATTTTGGTCACACCACCCACTGCTAATTCATTATCCAATAGCTCCTATATTTTAATTATACAGCAATTTTTCTTTAGAACAGCATGCACTGATTAGATTCACAAAAAGGAGCATAAATTAACGATTTAAAGAGACTGATTTCACATTGAATCTTTTCTCAGATTTATAACTATGATGCAAACTCAGATGTGTCTGGTAAATGCATCCTCATGGGCTCAACTGGTGCGTGTTGCAAGAACTGCGTGCCGAAGTGAAACTTCAGAGTCATCTGTTGTTTGGCTCCGATCATGTGAGCCGCTCCTGGGGTCGTTCGCTCCAAACGCATCCGTACAGTGCAGTTTAACTGCAAACAGAAGCGTCCAGTTTGTATTGATTACACATAAACACAGCTGCAATTACCGTGCAGCGATCTTCCTCATCTGTGGCGAACCGTTTGTGTTTAAAACCGCCTTAGCGTGAACAAATTACAAAAAACTGCTTTTCTGATTTCTTCTGGCACCTCGAAATCAAACCAAGCCGTCGAACCTCAACGAAGGTGCTTTTGTTGAGAGCAACACGCTGGGATGCCACATGTGCAACGAGCATCAATTGCAACCGTATTGGCACGTCCAGAGCTAAAGAGGTGTGACTAATAATTCTTCCAGAAAATAATAACGTATAATTAAGGCCAGCAGGTGGCTTCCATTTGGCTGCTTGGAGCAGTAAAAGGCAAAGCTTCTGTAGTCTGCAGACGCCTGCTGCTCGACGCTGTTGAGCACACGTCAGTGTGTGCTGCCAGTCTGAGCTTTAATGGGCTGCGTGTGTGTGTGTGTGTGTGTGTGTGTGAGAGAGTGTGTGTGCGCATGTGTGGTGTGTGTGTGTGTGTGAGAGAGTGTGTGTGAGTGTGTGTGTGTGTGTTCGTACCCTCACAGAAGGGGCAGCACTCTCCAGGGATCTTAACAGGGTTCTGGCAGCTCTGTTTGCAGGCCATGGCGGTGCAGTGTGGCTCTCCGTCTACACACTGACAGAAGGTGCAGTCGTCATCCTTCCACTGCTCCTCGTGCGCCCGCAGTCTGTGATTCACCCAGCAGCTCGCTTTAGTGCTCTCCACCGAAAGCAGCTCCACATCTACACACACACACACACACACACACACACACACACACACACACAATGGCATGTCCGGATGAGAAAACGTGTCAGCATTATCAGTGCTGCTATTAACAGCAATTAAAATAAAACTATTAAAAAGCTAATATATATATATATATATATATATATATATATATATATATATATATATATA